TGAACACTTTACCAAACCCAAAACAGATGCTAATCTCAACTTGCTTCCAGCCCAGCATATGTGTAACACTCAGCCATTTACAAAAGGTGTGAATTCACTCAATTTTATACAGAGCCTTCCAAATACATCTCCTATTTTCAGCTTTGTTTGTGCCAGTAAACTACAGGCACTGGCACAAAAATGGATTATAAGAAGCTTGAACTGACACGGTTCTAATCAAATTACACTTAATTCATGTTTTGTAATTAACTTCAACTGGAGCAACACCTGCACACGGAGATGTTTCGGTGTGGTGTGGGGAGGTGGGGAATCATTTACACAAAAATACTGTATTGTAAGTTGTGCTATTTTATGTGCTCATTATGAAGCAGAGAGTGATCAGGGCCTGGGGAACAAACACCACCAAGGTGAAGCTTTCCACTGCCACATTTTTGTGTCCCTGTCCGGGGGTGATTTTACTTCTTGGGAGGCAAATCAGGCGTGGAATTGTCCCTGAAAATGACCACCAAACTAACCCCTTTCTTCATTCTCTGAAGAATCAGATCTAAATCACCACAAAAAGAGACCCTTGAAGGGCTGAGGGTAGAGAGAGGGGATGACAACCCAAATCTGAGAGCCCAAGTTCCAATTCTTTTGGCTCGTCACAGAGAGCTTGAAAAAAACCACACACCAAAATCTGCGCTCCAGGGTGAAACCTGTGTCCACACTCGTAGAGCTAAATACAGAGATGAGATATACAACTAAGATAAAAAGAAAAATAAAATTAAAAAAAAATCAAACTTCCACAAGGAATAATCTCCATGCAATGAACCACAGCACCACAGCCTGCACAAGCCACTTACTTTTCTCCGAGAGTCACCCGGAGGCTGCTCTGGAGTAAAGAAATTAATTGTTCACCATGTTGTGTTCAGCAGATACCCCATTAAAACACAGCTGGAAAACTCAGCAAACAACCCTCTACGACACTTGCTGACACCAAACAGACACAGTGCTTTGTTTTATACACAGACATTTAATTTACATGTAGAATTTCAATATGGGGAATTAGAGAGGTTCAAGCAGTGCTACTGTTCATCTTTTTGACAGAAATGTGACAGTGGTTTTTTTTAATTATAACCCTAAATATCCCCCTGCCATGAGCAGGGGCATGAACTACATGATCTTTAAAAGGTCTCTTCCAACCTAAACTCCTTATGATTTTAACACATTCAAAGATGACACTTAAATGCAGAAGAAACTACCCAAAATTATTCCAAGTGATAAAAATTCTTCCACTCCTCCTGACAGCTCAAGGTCTAGACATATTTCCTATGCTGATTTTTTTTTTTTCCATGCCATTGATCAGGAGTTCTGCCTCCTGGCAATTTTGGGGTTTTATGCACAAGGCAGAGCACAAGCCCATCAGCTCTCTGCAGGCACACTGGGGAGCCATCAGCAGTTTCAAAATCCACTTTTACTCAGAAAATCATAATTAACTTTCCCAAATCCACCTTTTGATTAAGAAAAAAAAAATGGTTATGCTAAGAAATACAGACTAAAAATAGCCCAGTCATCAACATGGAACTGATTTCCAAAGGGCACTTCCACATTAAATTTCTGTGTTTGGCCAGCTTGAACAACCAGACTTGGTGCTACAACCAGCTTTAATCACCTCTTTCAGTGTTAAGACACATCTTTGCTACCAAATGAACAGCTAAAATAAAACATTTCTAACAAGGTCATCTAAGGAGGGCGGAAAACTTACCTCCAAACAGCTCGAACTCTCTTAAACCCTCAACAATGAACTTCTCAGACACCCACCGCTGAAAGAGAGAAAAATCCTCCCCATCAGCAGTTATTCCATCTGCAGACAAGTTTCTTTTCCCCCTTCCCCACCAAAAAAAAAAAAACCCCAAAACCACAAGAGAATCAGTTACTGCCAACCAACATGCACTTAAAATGCAATAAAGTCATTTTAATCATTCAGACAAGTTCAGCGAGGTGGTATCTCAGAGGATTTAGATATCTTGGTTATATGTCTACTGATTGAACGCAAAATTAGAACATCAAGATTTCAAGGCTGTTGCTCTCTCCCAGGATTCGTGTTTGCAATTCAACAGCATTAGGAATGTTTCTACCACTACTCAAGGCTGTAATTCAAAGGAAAAAAAAATTATCTAGACACATAATATATAATAGAATGTGCAATTTTAAGCTTGCAGAGTGTTGATCATGATGTCAGTGTTAAGCAATGAATCACAAACACTCCCGGGGTAGAATTTGTCTACTTGGCAAAATAATTTTAAAAACAGCTCATTTTTTTTTTTTTTTTAGCACAAGGGAAGCCGGTCCTAGAAAGCACCAAGGAGTCTTTTGGTGATAACAGCTCAAAACTTGTATCATTTTAAGGCATTAAAAGTGGCTTTGTTGCAGGAAACCTCACTTAAAAAAAAAACAGAATCAAAGAAAGCTGTTGAGTTTTAACTTTGCAAGCGAAGTGAAGGGAAAACCAAACACAAACAGGTGACAGAGGTGAGGCGGCCACTTCTTAAAGAAAAGCTGAAAATCAACAGCATTATAGCGCTTTTTTTCCTCATTACAAGGCCCCACTGCACACCAAGGAGATACGAGTGCAGCAATAAACCCTTTAGCACGGTGGTTTTTTAACACCGATCCCCGCCCTACAATTAACCCTGCCATTAAGTTTCCCTGCGCTTCTCCCGGTGCTCTCCAGGCCCGGCCCTTCTCCGCGCCAAAGCTCATCCCACCGGCCCGCGGGGAAAGCTGGAAGGTCTTCAAACACTCACCCGTATGCGCTCGGGTTTACTTACAAGGAAAGACATGGGGGCCGCCGCTGTGGGACCGCGCAGCAGAAAGGGTGGGAAACCTGCGGGGAACACAGCGGGGCGTGCAAGGGTCACCCCCGGGAACCCCTCGGGAAACCCCCGGCCCCTCACAGACCCACAGCCCCGGCAGGAACCGCCGGGAGCCCTCACCAAGCACCGAGACCCCTGAATCCCCCCAAGGCTCCTCGCCCGCCCTGCCCAGCAGCCCCAGCCCCTCAGGGGAGCGGTGACTCCGGTAAGCACCGTGAGGAGCCCTCACAAAGCACCCACACCCCGAACACCCACCCAGGGCAGCGTTAACCCCGGTAAGCACCGTCAAGAGCCCTCACAAAGTACCGGCACCCCGAACACCCACCCTGGGGAGCGTTAACCCCGGTAAGCACCGTCAAGAGCCCTCACAAAGCCCCCACACCCCGAACACCCCCCCGCGGGGCCCCTCACCCGCCCGGGGCCCACACTAATCACCGACACCCCGCGACCTCCCCCTGAGCCCCTCAGCCGGCCCTAGCGCGGGAGGGGCCCCAGGGGAGCAGTGACCCCGGTAAGGGCCGCCCGGAGCCCTCAGGAAGGTCCGACCCCTCTCAAAGCCCCGACCCCTCCCCGGTGCCCCCCCCGGGGCCCCTCACCGACCCCTCAGGCTGCGGCCGCCGCTCACCGGCGGGACGCGCTGCGCGTGACGTCACCGCGCCGGCTCGCGAGGGTGACGTCGCGTCCGCGCCTCCAGCTCGCGAGGGGGGGAGAAGGGGGGGCGGGAGCCGCCGCCATGTTGGGTCCCTGAGGGGAGGAGGAAAGGAGGCTCAGGGGGGGACCTTCTGGCTCTGCAACTCCCTGACAGGAGGGGGGAGCTGGGGGAAATCGGGCTCTGCTCCCAGGGAACGGCCTCCAGCTGTGCCAGGGGAGGGGCAGGTTGGACATCAGGAGGAATTTCTTCCTGGAAAAGGGCAGTCAGGCCTTGGGAGGTTTGGAGTCCCCATGCCTGGAGGTATCCACATCCCTGGATGTGGCACTCAGTGCTCTGAGCTAAGGGACAAGGTGGGCACAGGGTGGGCTTGAGGATCTTGGGGGTCTTTTTCAGCCTCTCAGATTCTGGGGGTCCCTCAGTGGCCCAAGCTCTGTCCCCCCCAGTCCTCGGGCACAGGGACCCCATCCCCATCCTTAAACCCCCAGGGGCAAATCCTCCATCTCCACCATCCCTGCACCAGGGGAGAGAGAGAGACCTTCCTGGATGTGCAAAACCTGCACCAAAACCTGCCCAGGACAAACGAGGCTTTTGAGCTCCTGCCAAATGAAAGGACCGCTGAGTCGAGCCAAGTAAAGTAGGCAAGTGGAGTGTTTCAATTATATTTTACTCTTTAGATTGCTCATTTGAATGTTCATATTACAAAATTAGCTGCCACGGCCCACAACTGGATGGGACTTCAGGAGAGCTGTCCACTTACTCAGAAGAGCACAAACTAGTTAATTCCTTTCCAAGAACTCTGTGAAACAACACTGTATTAATCTTTAAAGCTAAATAGTGCTAAAATTTCACATACTCTACATGAGTTTTGGTTTTCAGTATTTTCACCAACCATTATAAAATGACTGTATTTGCATGTATCAGGTTACAGACATTTGCATTTCAGTCAGGGTGAAGCATCCCATGGTGGAACAAGTTCAAGCAGTTGCTGTTTCAACAGCAGCTCTTTCTTATTGCCTCAGAACCAAGTCTGCACCAAGTATTGAACAGGAAAATGCTAAGACACTGTTTCCCCACAAAGCTGTTCAAAGCCTGCCACAAAGCAACAATAAAATGCCTTCTGGATAGGCAGCATTTATAAAATGCAGAGCTTTCCCAGCAAAGTGCCTGCACGGGGCATTCACTTCCTTCTCCCCCTCTGGATTCAAAGCCCTCCAGTGACCACCGAGCAGATGAAGAGGATAAATGTCCTCTGGAACGTTCCTGCTGCCTGGGGGACACTGGATCTGCCTCCTGGCTGAAGTGAACTGGGCAGCAGCTGCTGGGACCAGGAGAGAAGTGTCTGAACAGCTGAAAACAGCCAAGGAAAGCTGGCTGGAAACTATCCCTGTATTCCACTCCCTTGGTTCTGCCCATCCCTGTGTTCTATCCCTAAGCCAATCATGCCCACAGGTGACCACAAATATTCCTTCAGGCCCTTGTTTGTACAAAAAGAAAAAAAAGAAAGAAAATAAAAAAATCACTTCTATTCTACGGGGCTTAAATCCCTGAAGAATCCATACTGTGTATGGAAGGCTCTAAGTTTTGTGCCTTGATGCAAACAAATGCACAGTAAATGTTTATTGTGCAGTTTTCCTCCCCTTTTAAGTTTTTTTCCCCCCCCCTTTTCCCTCCCACTTAACCAAAACCCAAAGTTTTAAAACCAAAGCATGAATGATGTTACCAGCACACGTGGACAGGTTTACAACCTTCTGTTTTTTTAAAGAACAAATGACAAAAGAGCATTCGAGAATATTGCAATTTTTTTTTGTTTGTTTGTTTGTTTTTAAACGGACAAATAGCAAAACTTTTTTACCCCCTGGAATAAGGAGTGCCGAGACAAAAGCTCCTCCACACACACCTGCATGTTGCTGTAATACTTAAATAACACCAATGCAAGGACTTTTCTCTCGACGGCTACGAGTGCTCAAAGAAGCAGAGGATTATGGAGTTACAGAGGTCTTGGTACCCGTGAATTACAGTTCCCCAGGTGGCTCCTCACATGGCTTTCACTTTGATTTGCTTCATCTTCATCTGCTTCTTCTCCAGCTTCTTCTGCTCCCGCCGCAGAGCAGCTTCCTGTGGGCAAGGATGGAGGGGGGAAGAAACATCAGGGATCTCCTCAAAGAGCAAGTGGAGCATTTCAGAGCCAAACAAAGCTCCCAGTTCTGGGTTCACCTCCCTCCCCAGTGCGAGGTGGCTCCTCAGGTGCAGGGGAGGGTCCCCACAAAGACAAAACTCTTTCCCCAAAATCTAAGAGAAAGCACAGCCCTTTTTTATGCTCCAGCCAGCACAGGCTCCACCATCCTCCCTTTGGTTCAGACAAGTCCCACTGCAGCTGTGCCTCAGTTTCCCCATGTTTGACCAGCAGGGAAATCACAGAACCCCAGAAAGGGCAGGCACATCTTCCACCAGCCCAGGTTGCTCCAACCTGGCCTTGGACACTTCCAGGGATCCAGGGGCAGCCACAGCTTCTCTGGGCAACCTGTGCCAGGGCCTGCCCACCCTCAAAGGGGAGAATTCCTGCAGCAGCCTGTGCCAGCCTGAGCACCCCCCTCACCTCCAGCCGCCGCTGCTTCTCGGGATCCTCCTCGTTCATGATCCGCTCCTTCTCCGCCCGTTTCTTCTCCTCGCGGCGGGACTGGGCGGCCTCCTGTCTCTGCACGTGGGTCAGCTTGAGGAAGTTCTCCTCCACACGTGCCCTGTTCTTGTCAGCTTTCTGTTTGCCCTTTCCACGGAGAAAACAAACAAATAGATATAAGTTTACCTCGATTTTCCCACCAGCAGCATCTCCAGCAGTCCCACGTGAAACACGAGGCTCCTGATCTGAAGGATCCAGTGGTAAAGGCTGCAGTTTCCCACAGCAGACACAAAAAGACAAGACTCACCTCTCTGTTCAGCCGGAACTTCTTGGCTTTGTCAATGGAGTAGATGACCATGCTCATCAGAGGCAGCAAAGACTCCATGTCCTTTGGGGAAGTGTTGCCTGAACCAGGCACTGAAAGAAAGAGTTACCTGTTCATTCAGAGAGACTGGCAGGACTTTTCTACCTGCTGTAACGCTCTCTCCTTATTGCTCACACTGTTCATGACATAAAGGTGCTCTTATCCTCTTTAGGAAGCTTCACTTGGAGACACGGCCTTGAATTTTGAAGAGAACTACAGGCCTCTTCTAGAAGAGGTTCCCAACAGGCTGCTTTTATTTCAAACCAGGGGAGTCTGTGCAAGCTCAAACTGCAAGGCTTGTGGCCTAAAAATAAGCCACCTGTGGAGAGGAGTGGGATCTAAGATCAGCAAGAGCAAGATTTGAGTGTCCCAGCGTGTTGCTGCCTTGGGTTTATCAATCAGTGATCCTGGTTCATCAGACATCATTTTCCACAGGTGACAGAACTGGAGCAGGTGACTTGCACAAATAAAGCCCAGCAGTGCCCCAGACACACACACACACACACAGACACCAGTTCTCTTACCGTTAAATGTAAACAAAAGTGTCTTCTTAGTTTCGGGCAGTTTTGTGAGCTGGCCCTCCCTGGAGGAGAGAAAAAAGTGTTTGGAACAAGTGGCAAAAAAAATACAGGGATAAAAAATAACTGACATCATTAGGGAAAAACCTCATCAAGAACCAAGAGACACTTGGAAATTACTTGAATAAAACAAGATTAAAAGCCTGTCTGTAACCTAAAGTTAAGTTTCAAACTCTTCAGATTGCTGAAGTGTTTTACTCCAAGGTGTGCGGGGAAAAGGCATGAATGGAAAAACTGACTGTCAGAGGAGTACTGAGGAGGCCTGCATATTTTGAATTACATTCACTTTTGCACATCCTGTTGTTTATACCACTAAAGATCCATAAAACGTGCTAGGAAAACAAAACATCTTGTAAAGAATTCAAGTCTTCACTGCCCAAAATCCCACAGTCTTCCCGTGTGAGAAACTCAGGCCTACATTTCCCAGATCCTCCCCAGTTTCAGCACGAGGTGTGACAATTTCAGCTGCTGTCTGACAATTAAATCAAAGTCTGTTCCCTTTTTTTGGAGGAGAGTCTCAAGTTTGGATAGAGATCAGTTATTTATGTGCCTGTGAGCATTACACACCCTTGCACAAACCCACACGATCTGGCTTTGTACCTACTCTTGCATAAGTTTTGGACCGGAGAACTGGTCCGAGAATTGGACGGACTCGATCTTGTCAGCGTAGTGTGTGAGGAAATGTATCATCTGAAAGAGAAAGCGGGGTCAGTTTTGCCCAATCCCAATCCATCTGCAGCCTCCCCACTCCACAGGGGTCTGCCAGCCTGTCTGCCCACGCCAGGGGGTTGCAACTTTGGCTGGCTGGTGAAGCTGCTCCCAGCCTCTGAAAGGCAGTTTTCAATCTGCAGTTCAGGACAGATCAACAGCTGTGATGTAAGAAAGGAATAAAGAGAATTACATCCACCACCATGGCCATTTGGCACTCCTGTGATGCTCACAGGACACAGAGATCAGAACCTTGTCCCACAGGCTGTAAGTGCCAGGGTTTCCAGGGAATATCTGCATGAATTCATCCCAGTTTACCTTGGCGTCCATCATTCCCTCCGTGACCTCCCCCATCTCCGACAAGATGGCCAGTGAATCTGGAAGCCCATATTTTGCACCAGACTTGGGTTTATCACTGCAGAACTCGCTCTGTTTCCAAGAGAACAATGACAAAACAAAATAAACCCAAAGCCCGTAAGCATCTCATCAGACTGACCTCTAAAAGTATCAGAAAAAGAAACAATAAAAAATACACTCAGTCACCCAGCCTGGCTGGGGACATTTCAAACAAAGCAAAGCACGAAGCATCGACAGCCTTTAAGTTGGTATTTCCCTTCAGCAGTCAGCACTTTCAGGAAAAAAAAAAAAAAGATAAACCAATTCTAATACAGCCCTGCTGGAATGCTCCAAGTTGGATTAAGGCAGGCATTTTTGCTCACACTGATAACAAAAGCTGGCACCCTCCCAACCACACTCCAGCGCTGTTACTTGAGAGAAAAGATTTGCAAAGCACTGCTTGTTGTCACTGGATTCTTTGCGAGGCTTCAGGGGTGGAACATATGGAAAGCTTCCATTTCAGATCACATAAAAACAGATGACCCACATTTTCCACCTCACAGATCCCTAATGAATTTTACTTTTCAAGCCCTGAAAAAGCCGTTTGTGCAGATTAAATGAGGTGAAGTGACATTTGTGGGTCCGGCCAAGACACCACAGCCCCCTCCTAAACGAGCTGCTTTCCACTGCCTCTTTCCCTGCAGCTCTCACACTTCCAGCCTCTCATTCCATTAGACTTTCATCCAGCAGATGAAAATTCCAACAGGTCAGTCACAAGTTTCCAGCTGTTCCCAAGAAAACAACGAATCTGCAGGTTGTTGATTTTTACATGCAATTATTTATCAACATGCAGGTACATACCAGGTCCTGCATCTCCTTCTGAAGTCTCACCAGTGCTTTTCTGGTTCCAACAGCAAACACGTATGTGTCCATGTCCTCATCGTTCATTGTCACTTTTATTTGCTGGGGAAACAGGAGGTTATTAGTCCTGAGCAGATTTCAGTGTCTGACACTGATTATTAAGAGCAAACACTGAGCAAGGCCAGGCACAGCTAAGAGGGAGGTGGCTGATCTAAAGCTTCCCAGAGTGTCTTAAAGTAAGGGAGCTTTTTAATCAGACTGAGCACTTAATTCAGTGCTGTGGTGTAGTGACAGGGACTAGAACAGCAGAGCTGTACAAGTAATTTGCAATTAAATATTCTCAATAGATACAAGTAAATGCAATTATAGATAAATGGAAAGAGAATTCACAGTGCACACAGCCACTGCTCTTCCAAATGGAACCTCTCTTGGCATTTATGCTCTCCAAGAGCAGGGGAGAAAGTAAAGAGGAACATTGCAGGGTATAATATCCAGACCCAACACATGGATTAAACACTGAACAGACAGAAGAACAATCTTTTAAGTATTTCAGATTGTAAAACTGCTTTTTAATCAAGCTGAGGCCTCAAAACACAACTGACTGCTCACCAAACCACTCAAAGATAAAGCCTACAGACAAACCAGATCTCCAGCCATCAGCAATTTGCATTTCACGGGCAGGAAAGAAACACAAACAACCCTTTCCAGATTGTTTCAAGACATGGAAGATATGGAACCCCACAGAAGTCACCTGGAACACCCGAGAGCAGCGGGGCAGAACCCGAGGAATGCAGGTTCACCCCAGGGCTCGGTACGTACCACTTGGTCCGACGCCGGCCTCATCATGCGCGCCAGCACGTTCAGCAGGTCCTGCCTCTTGAGGAACTGAAAACACAGCTTGGTAAACGCACAGAACAGCACTCACTCTCACCTACTTTGGTGGGCCCGATATGGGCCTGTGCAGATATTTAATTGTCCAGTTAGGCCTGGGTGTTTGCACGTTCAGAGCTCTGTGTCTGAACGGGAGCACAGGAGCCGAGCTGGGCTTGTTGCTCACACTGGAATGGAAAAGCCTCTAGAACCTGCCAACTGGCGACAGCCCCACCAACTCCCCCATCCTTACCTTCAGCTGGATGAGCATTCCCTCACAGCACACCCTCCCAGAGCACCACAAGTTATATATGTGTTCATTTTCTTGATTTAGCTTCCCAGTGCTTGTAGCTTCTTTATTAGTGCCATCATCCCCTGGAGGAAAAAAAGAGCAGTGAGAGACAACTGCAACCTAAAAGTCACAAACTGAAACTCGCACCACGTCACAGAAAAGGATTTGCTACAGCCCACATGGTCTAAACCCAAATACCAGAACTCTGTCATTGTGGAACTCACCCACAAGAGCAAAGTTACTTTCCAGCAGCTCCCTGTGGGTGTTGAACCAGGCGTGAGCCAGCCGGTTGTTTTTGTTCTTGCCGATGATGTAGTTCATGATGTAAGCCAGGAGCCCTGTGACCATCAGGATCTCCATGTAGTAACTCTCCCAGCTGTTCTGAAGGTGAGCAGGGACCTGTGTGAGGCAACAGAAACATTTACGTGCTGAACAAGCGGATTTTACCTACACAAACCATCTGGGAAATGCAGAGTATTGGAGGAAGCTCCATCCCCAACACAGCAGGAAGCTCCACAAAGGCACCAGGACAGAGCTAAACCTACATCATTCACTTGGCTCTGCTGGGGCACAGTGAGCACACAGGAAACTGGGAACAGCGTTCCCCAAATCAACAATTATACCTACATTAACTATTGTTATGGGGTCTTTGTTTTTGCTATGAGATGCATCTGGTTTCTCTTCATAGCCTTCAAACTCCTCATCATCATATGGTTCGCTCTCAGTGTCACCTTCCTAAAGGACAAAATCACAAACAGCGTGAAAATCCAAAGGCCAGGAAGTAAAATCCAGAAAGACAAGGTGAGAAAGAGAGAGACACTATCAGGAAACACAGAGACAGAAGATGAGGCCCTACCTGCGTGTCTGCATCATCAAAGTCTTCCTGATTCTCATCCTGACCTTCCAGCTCTACAGTGGCTTCTTCTTCATCATCTTCTGTAGTGATGATCCTCTGAGGAGACTCTGTGACTGCATCTTCATTCACATCCTCAAATTCGGCGAAGTCGTTATCGTCATATTCCATGATGTCATCCCCATCCTCGAATTCATCATACTTTGCCAAAGTAAAGCTCCATGGGATGAACAGGACAGCAAGGAAAAGATATAAATTCTTCATTTTCACTGGGGGAAAAAAAAAATAAATCAAATCAATCACTGCAAAGAGCCCTTATCAGTTCTGTTACATCACACCATTACAATCCCCAACTGCCACAAGCTATTTAAAAACACTACGAGGGTCAGACCAGAGAGAGAAATAAACCCCTGTCTGATCTTGCCACTTTCTCTATAAAGTAACTACTGCTACAAGAAAAACTAACTTTGAAGGAGGGATTGCTTGTGGCAGCAGCGAATTCCCATCTGGCCATGCTGTTCAGATGAGCAAGTTTGGAAGCAGGAATGTTCCACTATAAAACTGCCTCTCCATTAGCATCTCCCAGCCAGCACTGCCAGCTCATTTCTGAGAGCACACTCCGTGCCTACGGTTATCATTAATTAGCAATTAGACACAGGCAGCTCAACCAGTGTGTAAGAGCAGCAGTAAACCCTGAACTGCACTTAAGATTAATTTTAGTGATGCTCTGATAGTCTCTTAGTTGCAAAGTGCCCAGCTGGGATTTTCTAGGCTGCCTGCTCAGAACCAGGTCCCAAACTGCCCCAGCACGATCTCTGCTTAGAAACAAAGACCTTTTGTTGGGAGTTCAACCATAATGATAAAAAAAAAAAAGGCAGGAAGAGGATAGGTATTACACCAGTCCCTGAACCAAGAGTGAACTGGGGCTCACCAGCCCAAAGCTCTCCCCAGATCAGCCACTACCTTTTTTTTCCCCTCAGCTTCCCATCTTTTCTGCTTAATCTCAAAACAGTCCCAGCCCCACAACGAGGAGCTTCTCCAAGGTCCAAGAAAGGAGCCCCAAAAGGCAGCTCTGACCCTCCTGCTGCACCAGGCTGGGCTGGGAGGCTCAATTTACTCCCTCCCGCAACCAGAGCCGAGCGGGAACCCGAATGTTAATGAGAGTGTGCTCTTCTAAACTCAGAATAGAAACGATTTGGTTTCTAAATTTGACCAGCTCTCACACAGGGAACCCACTGTGTGACGGGGATGACAAGGACAGCTAAAATAAACCCCTCTGTCAAAGGCTCCTCATCCAGCCAAACCTGCACAGAACACGTTCACAGGATGTTAAAAGAGGATGCAAAAAGCACGAGGCAGAGCCCAGTACCATTGTTTGGAAACCTCGCAATCTGATGTGAATTTAGAAAGGAAAAAAAAAAAAAAAAAAACCAAACCACGATTTAGGTAGGACAGAATTGGCACTCAGAGGTTAAAAACCACCTGGGCAACGGAGCCACCTGCTCGACCAAACCACACCAGTTTCACAGTGAGAATTTCGAGACTCTTTGAGCACAATCACTTTCAGAAGACCCAACAACTCCTAGCAGGTTCCTGGAAAATAAACTGCGGCCAGTTCCAAGGACACGTTTGAGCTGGAGGCGGCTGGAAGCTGGAGCACCCCCCCCTGAGCTCAGCATTCCCTCAGAACAGGTTCCAAGTACAAACTCCAGGAAGCAGAAAATGCCTTGGCGGGCCCTCCACGCTCCACACCCCACCGAGGGACGGGTTCCCTTCCCGATCTCCACACGGGCTGTCCGGGACACCCTGGCGAGAGAAACAACTTCACCATAACCCGCAGGTAAATAAACAGCGCTGCTACTGCTGCTGCTGCTGCTGCTCCCCGAGCAGAACATTCACCCGCCTGTAAATAAATCTCGAGTCCAGACCCGGCTCCGTAGAAGGGCTGGGCCCTCACCGTGACCCCCACAAGTGCCGCCCGTTATCTCGCCGCTCCCGGCACAGCTCCCGGCTCCTTCCCGGGACACGAGTCAAGGTTAAGCGAGACAAAAACCAGCGCCCTGCCTCCCCGCGGCGCTGCCCGCACCCCCGGGGCTCGGCACAGGCCGTGCCCTCCGCGCCGGGCTGTGCCTGCCGGGGGCACCGCGGGCACCGGGCACCCGGGGAGGGGGCGAACGCAGCCCGGGGAGGCCAGAGCGGGGTGTGCCATCCCCGCAGGGCCCGAGCCCGACCCCAAACCCCAGACACCCCCCCGGCCGGGCCGCGGGGCCGCCTCACCTGAGTCACGGGCCCGTCCCCCGCCCGCCGCTCCGCGCCCGCCGGCCCGCGGCGCATGCGCGGCGCGGCCCCCGCCGCATGTGCGGGGCTGCGCGGGCACACCCGCGTGGGCGCGGGGAGGGCGGGCAGGGGAGCCCCAACCCCCTTGGGAGGCAAAAACACGCGGGAACCACCGGGTGAGCGGTGCGGTCAGGGGACCACCGGTGCTGTTCCCCAGCCTGCTTTTCTCTCGGTTCTCCCCCGCTCCCGCCTTTGCCCGCTCCGGGCGCCCACACTTGGGCGCGGCTTCACCCGCGGGCAGCGCGCACGCGCCGCTCGCGTCCCCCTGCGTGCCGTGCGTGGGCGCGTCGGCGCGTCGAGTCTCCACCCCCCGCCCCGGTAACCGGGGTAGTGGCGGCGGCGGCTGCGGGGCCGGTGGGTGAGTGAGGGGGCCCCGGGCGGGCACCGAGGGCAGCGGGGCCGCAGGGTCGACCCGCCCGGTTCCCCCCGCGCTCCGGAGCCGCCGGGGCCGCGGCCTGGCAGCGGGCGCGGGCGGCCCGGGCCTGCCCCGCACAAAGGGCCCGCCCCGCGCCGCGGCCCCGCGGGCGGGAAGGGCCCCGCGCAGGGCCCGGGGAGGCCGGTCCAGCTCCCACCCGCGCCTCCCGGCCCTGCCTGCGGGCTCGGCCCGCCGCCCCTCGGGCGGGGCGCGGCCCCGGGGAGGGCTCCGGGGAAGGGTCCGCGCCTCGGGAGTTCCTCCCGCGGAGCGGCGGCCGCGGGGAAGAGAAGCCTCGGGAGCTGGCCCGTGGTCCCTGTGCTGGCTCCGCGGGCAGGCTGAGCGAGTCTTGCGCTTTCGGGGCTGTACGGCCGTAAAAAAGGTGGTTCTCCTTATTTTCCGCGGTTGCGGGAGGGGGAAAGAAGGTGGATGAGTACAGTGAGGAAGGATCCTTGCAGCCAGGTTTTAACTCGGGAGTTTTAACGTGAAAGGTTCTCCTGTCAGCAGCAGGAGTGCAGCTCCGCCTCTCACCCTTCTGGGGCACATTTGGAGCTGCAGACCCGCAGGTGGGAAGGCCACAAGGTGTGTCAGGGCTCCAGGGTCAGTCCCTGCCACACCGAGCTGAACTGCAGAATTCTCCCCAAAATCTGCTCCTGAGCTCTGGTCTGGGCTTGAGGTTTATTGAGCAAGTCCTAAGCTGGTAAATGTTCAGCGCAGGGAGCAGCAGCACTGTTTACCTTTGGATTATTGGGAAGTTGTTTCTCTTGCCCACGAGTTGTGATCTCATCGAGGATTCTCAGTGTGAGGATTTGTTGTTTAAAGAGACTTGTAGCCTTTGGACAGCTGATTATAATGCACTGGAGAGCAGTGGGTGCCTTGCTGTTTAGTGCCGTATAGGTATCATTTACTTGACCAGGCAGATAATTAAATTATACAGAATGGAAACTCTAAATCTTAATATATCAGTTCAGTCTTCACCTTAGAAAATCAACGTTTTACGTGGAGCATTTAAAATATGGTTTGAAAACTGTAGGTAGGAGAGCATGTTTACACTCAAGGGTGGGACTGGGTGGCCATGCAAAACAGGAGCTGACTTTTCGTCTCTCGTTCCTCCTGGTGTTCAAAGTTCTGGCCCTGGGGTTGTTTGTCTTGGACTGCAAACAGACAGGACAGGTAACATCTTCAATATGCTGAAGTGAGCCTTGAGGGACGTGACCTTTTTTTGGGAAGACAAGCACTTGGGGTGGTTTTTTTTTTGTCTCTGGAATCGTGGATGTTTTCCCACTGACAAGGAAAGTACGGAGCCAAATCCTTTGTGGGAAAGAGATCAAACTTGTCCCTCACGTTTCCATAGCTGGTGTGATCCACTAACAAGGAAAATTGTGACAATCAATCGTCTCTAACTTCCTGAAGCACAAAGGGCACTGATTTCTCTTTCCTCATTTGAACAGGTCCACTGGGGGCATCATGAATTGGAACAAAGGTGGGCCTGGCACTAAGAGAGGCTTTGGGTTTGGTGGATTTGCCATAACCCCTGGGAAGAAAGAGGAGCCCAAGCTGTCCCAGCAGTCCCACAGCGCTTTCGGAACAGCCGGTTCCTCAGCAGCCTTTGCCAAGTCAGGGCCTCCTCAGCTGCCTTCCTTCTACAAAATCGGGTCAAAGAGGGCGAATTTTGATGAAGAGAATGCGTGAGTACAGTTGTGCCTTGGGTTTAGCAAAGCTTTCCCCTCTCTGGAACATATCCCAGCTGAGCCCCAGTCAGCTCAAGCTTATTCACTTCAGAGTTGGAACCGAGGATATTGGGAAGGAATTCCTGGCTGGGAGGGTGGGCAGGCCCTGGCACAGGTTGCCCAGAGAAGCTGTGGCTGCCCCTGGATCCCTGGGAGTGTCCAAGGCCAGGTTGGATAAATTTGGAGCAACCTGTGCTGGTGGAAGGTGTCCCTGCCCATGGCAGGGGGTGGCACTGGATGGGCTTTAAGGTCCCTTCCCACCCAAACCATTCCATGAAATCTGTCATATGGAAGGGGGTGGGCTCAGAAAAGCATCCCATATCCACCAACATGGGAGAGTCATTCAAGAAGATCAGTTTTTATGATATCTGTTTGTCCTTCAACCACTTCAAGCTTGTGACATAAATAATTGTAAATAAATGAATAAATCTCAGCTGTCCATCCTGACTTTTGTTATCCCTGTGGGAAACTTTGACTCACCCAGAAGCCACCAAAGGCTGTGAACTACGTGCTGAGTGGGCTGTTGGTCGTTTCTTTTCAGGTACTTCGAGGACGAGGAGGAAGATTCCAGCAACGTGGAATTGCCCTACATTCCCGCCGAGAATTCCCCCACTCGGCAGCAGTTCCATTCCAAGTCAGCGGACTCTGACAGCGATGACGATCCCCTGGAGGCTTTCATGGCTGAAGTGGAGGCAAGACCCGGCTGGGGAAATGTTTGTTCGTTGGTGCGGCCGCGAAATCGGGAGCGGCAAATGCCACTCGGGGGGCTTTGGCAGCTGCGAAAA